GGGTGTGTGTGTGTGTGTGTGTGTGTGTGTGTGTGTGTGTGTGTGTCGTAACAGATAGGCTGCAACACAAGGAGGAGAGGTGAAGATGTTGTCTGGCAGCTCGAGCCCTGGACTGATAATGATGAAGATGATGGCGATGATGTCATTGATTTTGTGGTGGCAGTGACGGTGAAAGTTGAGGTGCAGGCAGCACTGCCACTACAACAATCACCAGCATCATTAGCGCTATGTACACACAGCATGCAAAACTAACACGCTTCTCTTTGAGGCGGTTCATCAGCTGTTATTTCAGTTAAACAGTTTGTGATTGGGTGCATCCAGTTTGAAGCTGCTTCCGTGCATTACTGAAAGATGGAAATAATATAACTAGAGGTGCAAAAAAACTACATTCACTCACATAGACCGCACTGTCTTGAAGTGCAAGCGAGTATTTATTCTGTTTCACTTTTACCCCACTACATTTCTAAATGAAGTATTGTAGTATATGTACCTAGACAAAGTGTTTCCCTGAGGAGCAACTGGAAGCTAGATAGCTGGGAACTTTGCTCTGGCTGGTCAGGTAGTTTTTATCTAAATATCCCACATTCTATGGAGCTAGGAGGAGAAGAAAATCTGTCTGCTGGTCTTTTATTTTGTTCAAATAAGTTATTTTCACCCCATTCTCAAACAACACTTCTTGTAGGAATGTGGACCTTCTCTTGAGGTTTGAATTCCACTTTGGGCGTTCACTGTAAAAATGATGGCGTCCCTTAGTTGGCTACTTATCTGACCAGAAGACTGGGGAACTCTCTCTCCTCTGCACTGTATAATCATTAAAGTATTTCTACAGGTGCAGTTAGTTACTTTTTACTACTCGTACACAGTGCAACAGTAACGTAACACTGAAAAGATCCATTCTTCACAATGAATAATTCACTTTTGATACCAATTTTCTGCAGGTATGTCAGTAAAATTGTATATGCAGTAGGTGAATCATTTGGATACCAGAGGTGCTTAAGTCTTGTGGACGGTGCAGTTAATTTACCTAAGGCACATCATCATCACTGTGTCCCAGGCAGGGAAACAAAATGGACATGGTGTTTCATTGATTAATCGAGTTTAAATAGAAAAGCAGCTTTTCTGCCCCTGTGGAACGGAGCGTGTCAGCCGAAATCTCAAAATGGGAAAGACTGCCATACGGTACAGAACGTGTTACGAATGCCACTTTAATCTGGGACAGACCAACTATGATTTGGTCTGTGGTATTTTAACATGTTTTTTTTTTTTACTTTCCATTCAGAATCCTTTTAACATTTAAATTCACCATGGTCAGTAAACACATCATGTATGCCATGGACACAAATACTCACTTATCCCCTACTAAAATGATGAGATGCAGCACATTGGATCATACTTCATTCCAAATGAGACTAAGCTCACCTGGGGCCTGACTTCTAAAGTGGATGAAGAAGTCTGAAGCTACAGTATAAAGAGTGTCCAGAGGGCATAGCAGATTTCTGGTGGTGGCTGTAAAACAGTCCACTCATGTTTTGATATTGCAGGACAATCTCCTTCAGCAGCCAATATGTGTTTGTTTTGCTGCACCAGAAGTATTCTCAAGGATAAATCCTTCCCAAGTCGTCGTGTGCCTTTGGAGTAAACTGTGTAAATCTGTTATTTCACTAGCAGGGACCTGCCCTCACTAACTACAAATGGAAGTAGAAGGTTGAATGAATGAACTATAAGGATACTGAATGCTTGTGTATATGTGGTTGCTTGTGCGTAACAAAAAGCAGAAGCAAAAGAGTGGAGGCCTTAGTGGGTTAAATAGTATGAAAATGGAAGAGGCGTGGTTCGGGTCAGGTCCCGCTCCCGAACTTCAGATAATTACATTATCTGGATTTTGCACAGAGAAATCCATCCTTAACTGATAACAGCTTGAGTTTTATGTGTTTGTTTGCAGGCTCTAACTGATGCCATTAAATCATGCACTTCTATTTTAGTATGTGCAATTTAAATGACTTATTCCATTTAATCTTATGGGTGTCAAATACACAGTGAGCCAAAATTAAAAACTGGGACAAAGTTGCAGGCCAGACTCTATATTTATTGAAATAAAAAATTGAGCATGTTTTCTCTTCTCTCCAGATATATAATGATATGTTTTTTCATATGGAAACAAATTTAAGTTGCTTAAACATTGAATTTGGAACAAGCAAACCTTAATATTATATTATAAACACATGAGAAATCAAATTTCAAATAAAAAGTGGCATTCGTTTATTATTTAAATAAATAAAGTAAATTCTTATGCCTCTTTCTATCTGTAGCCTTTCGAGTTCATTTTCAGTGTAAACCCTTTTTCACGGGCCAACAACAAAACCAAAAAAAATAATTTCCTTCAATGAAAATCCAACAATTCAACTATTAACAGTCCATGCTTTGCAGTAGCATTAAAAAAAAGTGCATAAAGAAAACTCAACTCAAAATTCAAGCTCAGTTTGCTACACTCTGATTTACTCTGATGCACACTGGTCCAGGCCAGATACCTGGCATCTTTTCTTTGATGCTAGTCCATCAATGTCAGAGGTCATGGGGCTCTGAGCTGAGGAAATCCTCAGGATTGAGTGAAGGTGTTCATCAGTGAGACAACTCCTGTGTGATGTTTTGTTCATCTTCATCAAAGACAACAGCTGTGCACATAGATATGTGCTGCCAAACATAGAGAGCATTTGAGCAGCTTGGGTACGGAGTTGGGGCCTTGTGTCGGGGCTGAAACGTAGAAACTGTGCAGCGCCCACAGAGTCATACTTTGACTTGAGTGTGTCACTACACTGGAGTTCAGTCATTTCCCTTTGGAGGTTGGTTGGTGCACTTTCCACGTCAAATGCAAACGGATTACTGTTTTGAAAGCTCCTGGTTTCCATCTTTCGTTTGGCCATTTTTGGATTAAATTTGCCCGAGGTGACCGGTAGCATGAGGTTGCTAATAAATCTCAACAGAAGGTGCTCGCGGGTCTTGATTGACGCGCCAATACACTAGCAAAGCATTCTGGGATTTGCAGTATTAGCGGTGCATGCGATATATATACTGGCGGGCCAGCTCTAATAAACACTTGAAATTATCTCGCGGGCTAAATATGCTTACACTGTGGGCCAGGTTTGGCCTGGGTTTGACATATATGTTCTAGATAGTACCTCCCCCTGCTGCATAGTGTCAGGCCTTCACTCACGTTACTCCTCTGCCAACATTTATATCTCTTATTCTCTGATACTGGTCTTTCTGAAACACACACATCATTTGTATTAATAAAACAATAACATTTTAAAAACTTGGCTTGGTGTTTGAAATGAAATGTCAGTAAGCTGTATGATGGAATACCATGTGACATGGCTGGAATACGCAAAGTGGTGATTCCATCTTCAAGTTGCATTCCTACTTATTATTTTGATAAGCCCAGTCATGTTGCTTATCTTATCTTCCTAACGTCACAAGCTAACCTACAACACTGCCACAGATTTTTTAAATAGCACGGTGTTGTTTCCTGCTGTAACTCCTCCCCTGGATGCTCTGCTGGTATTGTTCTGACTGGGTGTCACACAGAAACCACAGGTGCACCAGCAGGTTTGACGACAACAGCCTGGTGTTTGTGTGCCAGTCTGCTCACAGCTCTCTTGACGCTGAAATGGAAAATTTGAGCAAATCAACCAAGATCGCTTACAAGCGGTGGAAAAATCCTGATCTGGGGTAAAACAGCAACATGATTTCATGAAATATTTGTGAGAAGGAAAGGGAACATTCTCTTGGATATATCTGCCCTGCTGTCTTTACATGCAGTACCAGGGTGTTGCCACAGGACTAAGTAGTACATCCACACTTAGGCCAGTTTATTTTATGACAAATTGTGACATAGTATTTTACTTGAAATGTAACCTTATTGTGCTCAGTAATGCTTGAATTTCTCCTTTCGGTTTACTGACATTTAGAGATGAAGCGCAAAGTGCAGATCACGGCTACGGGGCTCAGGACACATTCAATGAAATCTCCACAATAACCGCAACCACAGTTGACTCAGGGCGGAGACAGTCTGCATCCGGATATGGAACTAATAAAAGTGAAGGTAAGTGAAGGTATGTGGAGAAAATCAGGTGGTAATTTATTCAGCTAAACCTTTTATTTGTGAGGAAGAGAAGATTTAGTGGAAGAAGTATTTTGATGACTTACTTTGCTTAAATTAGCAATATCACACTGAAAAATACTCCATTTCAAAATTTTACATGGCACTAGGTACATGACTACTGGCTTTGAGTGTGCTGCAATGCATTGGAAAGCACTATACAAGTAAAACATTATTTATCATTATGAACCTGATTGATTACTGTCACTGTTTCAATACAATATTATTGGATCATTCTTGCTGAGACCGTAACATGTGAGCATTTCTTTGTTATGATTTAGTCACCCTCACCAGGAGGGTGAGGGAGAACTGGGGTTGGACTCACGATGGCTGACCCAGGTGCTAGTACAAAAAAGGTGGTTTAATGGAATAAAAACAACATGACAACAAAACAGGGTCCATAATACATAGAAGGGAAGGGCAGTGATGACTAAGGAGACCAGGACGGTAAACACACAAACTAACGACAGGAACTAGGA